AACATCATCATCACCACCATCATCATAATCGGGACACCGTCACCATCATCAACACCAACATCACCATCATCATCATCATCATCACGGTCATCAACATCATCGGGACACCACCAGCATCAGCATCATCATCACCATCATCACAATCATCATCATCAACATCATCATCATCAGCAGCATCGGGACACAGTCATCGTCATCATCATCATCATCATCATCAGCAGCAGCATCATCATCGGGACACCATCATGATCACCATCGTTATCAGCATCATCATCATCATCATCATCATTGAGACACCATCATCATCATCTCATCCTAATCATCGACATCAGCATCAACATCCTCAACATTGTCATCAGCATCATCATCATCATCGTCATCATCGGGGCACCATCACCATCATTACCAACATCAGCATCAACATCATCATCATCATCATCATCATCACCATCGGGACGCCATCATCATCAACATCATCATCAGCAGCACCATCAGAATATTCATCATCATCGGGACGCCATAATCATCATTAACCTCATCATCATCAACATCATCATCATCGGGGAACAATCAACATCATCATCATCAACATCAACATCATCATACTCATCATCATCGTGACACCATCATCGTCATCATCATGATCATCAACATAATCATCATGACTATCATCATCCTCATCATCGGGACACCATCAGCATCATCACCATCATCGACATAATCATCATCATCATCATCATCATCATCATCATCATCATCATCATCATCATCGGGACACCATCATCATCATATCATCATCATCATCAACATCGTCCTCATCATCATCAGCATCATCATCAGCATCACCATCATCATCATCATCATCATCATCGTCGTCGTCGTCGTCGTCATCATCATCATCAGCAGCATCATCATCATCAGCATCACCATCATCATCATCATTATCACCACCATCATCATCATCAGCATCATCATCATTATCACCATCATCTCATCATCATCATCATCATCATCATCATCATCATCATCATCATCATCATCATCATCATCATCATCATCGCGGGACACCGCTGGACACCGGCGGGACACCGTGGGGCACCGCGGGACACCGCGGGACACCGCGGGACACCGGCGGGACACCGCGGGGCACCGGCCGCCCGGTCAAGGTTCTTTTGGTCCGGCCGCGCCTCAGCCACAGCAGACTTTTTCTCGCCCGCCCACGCAGCTTCGCCTCGCCCGCACGCACGGCACGCACGAACACGAAACCGAAATTGATTTCCCGGTAGGGGGGCTCTCCGTTCCACTTCGATCTCACCCCCTCACCTCCGATATTTTTGTTGAGAGGGCCCAGGACACAGGGATGCAGCGCAAAACATGAGCGCATGTTGGGTTCGGTGCGTCTGGGGGCCCTACCGAGCGAAAGTAACGAAATCAATAAGGGTCCGACGCGCACCAACCGCTGCAAGCAGGGCGGCGGATGTTGGACGTCGTCCCAGATCATGCGCGTACAAGCAATTATTCGCAGCGGCATGCTTTCCTGGTTGAGCAGCGAAGTCGTGGCGAACAGATACTATTGGCGGGCAGCGACGCCCCTGAAATGTGGCGCTGGTGCCGGGCCATTTGGTCCCGGGTATCCCATCCGCCATGCAATGATGGGCTCGGGTCCGTGCTCGGTAGGCTTTGCCAGCAGCGGGACGCCACGAAGGCAGTTGTCCAGGAGTTGCTTCTTCTGAGCGCTGAAGTGGACTCCAGCGGAGAAATAGGTGTCGATACCGCTTGTCGTCCTTGAGAGCCCTCGTCGCCACGGGTGGAATCGCATTGAAATATTGGTCAGAACGCACCCCGGGAGAGGTTTGGGGAGTAGCGGTACCGGCATCTTTTCGTCCCCTCAGGATTGGAGGGATTGGCGTCAGAGTACATCTTTGATGCATGCAGCAAGGTGTATAAGCGGCGTAGCGAGAGCGCAGGTCATCACGTTGCTTCTCTCGGCTGGGGCAGATGTGAATGCGGCAAACCTTCCCGGGAACACTGCGCTCATGTTCATGTGCCTGCCTGTGCACGAGCCCGTTCGCCCTGTCTTGGTAGGTACTTTGCTGCAGAAGAGAGCTTCCGTGCACGTCAAAGACGAGACGCGAGGGAGCTTGATGAATTGGCTGATCCGAGAAAACACCGTCGAGGCTGGTGCCACTACAGAGGACGTCGTGCTCGCGAAGCAGCTGATCAAGCTGGGCCTTGGACACGAGAACAACGAGCAGGGGGAGCAGCTTGCGAACAAGGCGTGGCAGAGACGAGCATCAAAGCTTGACCTCAGAAATTGTGAACGCTTCGCGTCTCCACACCAACCCATCCAGACACGATGCCCAGCGGAGCTACCCTGAAATGGGGAGCGTGGCATCATTTGGGAACGTCGGGGGCCTGTGTGGGCCAGAGGCCCCTTGGGTGCTTCCTTGGGTCCCCTCGGGTGTTTGTTGAGTTCCTCTTAGAGGCAGCCTGGGGCGTCTTGGGGGCCTCTTGCAGGCGCTTGGGGGGACCTTTTGGAACGTCTTGGGTGCCTCTTGGGGACCTCTTGAGGCATCTTGGAGACCTCTTGGGGGCCTCTTCGGGCTCTCTTGAATGCTTTGTCGGGCAGTCGCAGGGTCATCGGGGAGGCTACCGATCAAAGAAGGGGGGCCCCCCTGACAGCGCCGCCATCCCCACAGGAGGCCACACTTGGCCCCAAACCGACGGAACTTCAATGACAGTTGCCTGCTCGCTGAGACCATCTTGGACGCTCCAACTGGTCGAGGTCGGGCCTCCCCATTCTAGGCCGGGGGGGTTGGAAGAGAAAACTCCCTACACCACCTGCACCCTAAAGGGCTGGTGGGATTGCGCTGTTCCACGTCGGGGTACGTGGATGAACAAGCAGAACTTGTCACTGCGTGTAAATGACGGGATGACCCTTGTGCCGCGAACTGTCATGCAGCTGAGCTGGTTGGTGACCCTCGACCTGAGCGAGAACATGCTGCTGGCATTACCGGCGGACTTTTTCGAGAGTTTGTTGCTGCTGGAGGATCTTGACCTTTCATTCAATTGCCTGGTGTCGATCAGCCACAGTGTGGGTAAGTGTCAGCAGCTAAAGACCCTGCGGCTCGTGGGCAATCGGTTGACTGCGCTCCCTGCAGAGCTTGGCAAGATCTCGACACTTGAGGAGCTCGAGCTCGGCACATTTCAGTCCGTGTTCGGCAACCCAATCACCGAGCCCCCACCCGAAGTTTGGCAACGCATTGGACAGCCCAAGCCGCACGCCACATGGGGAGTCACAGGCGAGACCAATATTAGTCGCAAGGGACTTGGCTATCCCAAGCGGGAGGGGAAGGACGAGTTGATCGCTAAGCGGAAGGCTAACAATCAAGGAGCGGATACGTGCGAGGGACAGTTTGGGAACCAGAAGGAGCAGGGGAAAGATGTTGGTGCGGCTGCTGCCGCGAGTGCGACCGCTGCTGTTGCTGACAGTAAGGAGGACGTCGCCGCATTCAACGTGGAGAGGATGGACGTGCACTCGATCCACCACCCAGCGCTCAAAGTTGTAGAGGAGGATCACCTTCTCTTCGACGAGTCGTCGGCGTCACACGTGAGGCGCCTCAGGAACTACCTGCTGGCGACGCTGCTGGGCGGTTCAGAGGAGCACTGGGCGCTGGCGCTGCCAGTGCTCGGGCTCAGCGAGGTGGGCAAGACGTCACTGATCAACGCCATGGTGGAGGGAGCCGCGAGGTGCATGCGTGTGGGTGACCGCACCGTCGGGGTCGAGCAGCGAGCGTGGCGTCTGCCGGTGGTAGTGGGACCCGGAGGCGATGAGGGAAAGCTTGAGAGGGAGATCGATCTGCGAATATTTGACTTTGCGGGCCAAGCAGCGTATTCGATCGCTTCGCCTACTCCGCCGGCCCAGCTTGTAACATCGTTGGCGCTTGCCTGTTTGCTCGCGTGGGCATTTTTGGTGCCTCGTGGAGCCTCTTGGGTGCATCTTGGTGGCCTGTTGGGGCTTCTGGGGGGCTCCTGAGGGCCTCTGGGGGCCTCTTCGGGGCCTTCTGGCAGCATCGGAGGCCATATTTAGGGGAAGGGCCCGACATGTGAATTCGGATTCCCTCTCGTGTGGAGCTCTCTTGGTGGGCCACTTGTGCCGTCTTGGGGCCTTGTTTGGCTTTTTTGGAGCCTCCTGGGCTGTATTGGGCTGGTCTTGAGGCCTTTGGGGTTTGCCTGCGCTAATCGGAAGCTCGACGAGGCAGCGACGTCAAACCTCAGAAGCCAACGGCAAAGCAAGGCAATGGAGCCTCGGGGGGCTCTCCTGGGGGCTGTGTGGGGCCACCTTGGGGCTGTCCTGAGGCACATAGAGATTGTCTTCGGGCAACCTTGGGGCGTCCCACCCTCAGTGGGCCCCAGAAGCGGCAGGGCCGTTTTTTCACCGTATGCGAAAAAGTGTCCCTTGAAAATGGAAACGGCAACAAAAACGGCGACCGGAAACGGCAACAAAAAACGGCTCCAGGATTGGAGCTAGGGCGACGGAACCGGTACCAAAAACGGCGACGGAACCAGTAAGAAAACGGCGTCGCAACCGGCAAAAAAACGGCAAAACGGAACCGGCAAAAAAACGGCCCTGTCGTTTCCAGGGCCCAGTGGCGTTGGTGTCTCTTGGTGGTCTCTTGGAGCTCCCCGGGTGTCTCCCGGTGGCGCTCCCTGGGCGACCGGAAGGGCCGGAGCACCGCCCCCCCAGGAGTTGCGGCAGCTGTGGCCAGTGTGGGCCAGGGTGCTCTGCGTCTGGGGACCTCCAGGGACCGCCCAGCGCGCGCGAAAACGATTTCTATTATATATATATATGTGTATATATATATGTATATATCTATATATATATATATAAAAATATAAATATTCCTCTTCGAATATTCTTATATCGGAAAACCGCGGGTGACCCCCCCCGTACAAAAATTCGGCCCTGGGCGCTCCCATCGGCGGGAAATTCGGGTATTCGGTTCTGGAGGCCCCTCTCGGTCATCCCAAGCCGCCCTGGCGAGCTCAAGATCGCTCCCTGGACGGTCCCGCGGAGCACCGAAACGGCCCAAGACCGCTCCAACGCGCCCAAGATGGTCCCCGGACGGCCCAAAAGGCCCCCAAGACGCCCCACGAGAGCCCATAGGTCACCCCCAAGCGGGTCCCAGAAGCCAGAATTCGTAAGTTTCCTATAGGTTTTTCATGATTTTCAACGTGCTCGCTTTCTCGACCTCTCGACCACGCAAGACGATCAAACAGGCCCCCAAGATTGCCCCAAGACGCCGGAAGTGGTTCCCATGAGGGCCCCACAACGGCCCAAGAGGGCCCCAAGATGGCCCCAAGACAGCCCAAGACCACCCAAGAAGCCCCGCAAGACGGCCCAAGATGGCCCCAAGAAGGACCAACGGAACTGACTTTTCGAGCTCTTCCCCCAAATATGGCCCCAGAGCCGCCGAGGGGCCCCCCAAAGAGCCCTTCGAGGGTCCCAGAGAGCCCCAAGAGACCTCGACGACGCCTTCCCAGCCCAACAAATGAGCTCAAGAGCCCCCCCCCGGGAGGCCACACAGATGCTTCAATGAGGTCCCCTGCCCGGCCCAAAGCACTTCCGCACGGCCCACGAGAGCCGCAAGACGGCCCAACAAAGAGCCGCCAGTGTCCCCAACGGCTCCCAAACGCCCCCCAAGACGGCCACAGGAGGCCACAACAACACCTCACAGAGTTTCATGACGGCCGTAAGCCCTGTAAGCCCTACGCGCCCCATCAGCCCTACGCTCCCTATGAGCCCTACGAGACCTACGACCCGTACGAGCCCTACGAGCCCTCTGAGCCCCATGAGCCCTATGACACATCCGAGCCTCGAGAGACCTCCGACCCCTATGCGCCCTGTAAGCCCTATGAGCTCCGTGGACCCTGCAAGCCCTACAGGCCCCATGATCCCTGTGAGCCCTACCATCCCTACGGGCCCTATGAGCCCTACACGAGCCCTATGAGCCCCATGAGCCCTATGACACCTCCGAGCTCCATCACCCCTACGAGCCCCATGAGCCCTAAGAGCCTTATGAGCTCTACCAGCCCGACGACCCCTACGAGCCCTACGACCCCTGCGAGCCCTACGAGCCCTACAACTATGAGCCCAATGAGCCCTACGAGCCCTCCGACCCATGTGAGCCTTACGAGCCCTATGAGCCCTAGGATGCCTACTCACCATTGGTGCATCGGCCTTCGTCGCGCGTCGCCCCTGTGCGAGATCGTAGGCGAGGGTCGGGGGGCTCTCGGATATCTGCTCGTGCTTTCTTTTGTGGATGCTTTCAGAAGCTTTCGGAGTCCGCTCAGGAATTAGCGCCCCCCCCCATGGTTCCAGCACGCGTGTCTGGCCTACCACGCGTGGGGGGAAGGTCATCCTTGCACGCATCTCTCCTGCACCCCGGCCCGTCGTCGTCCCGGCACGTCGTCGTCCTCAGGACTGCAAGTATTTCGGATCGCCTTTCGAGGCGTACGACGTGCTGGCAGTGAGGCGTGGAGCTTGAGCCCACAGGCAAAAACACGTTTAAGGCCAGCTCCAGATCCCTCGGGAACCTCCCCGAGCTCGCCCGGACCGCACAGGCAAATCAGACGTGGTCGGGGCATTCGCGCCCTATGAGCCCTATGGGCCTGGCGAGCCCTGTGAGCCTTACGGGCCGTATGGGCCCCTGGACCCCATGAGCCCTATGAGCCCTATGAGCCTTATGAGGCCTACGGCCCCCGCGGGCCCCACGACACCTTACGAGCATGTATGGCCTTTGAGCCCTATGAGCCCTATGAGCCCTACATGCCGTATGAGCCCTATGAGCCCCAGGAGCCCCATGAGCACTATGAGCCCTGCGGGCACCATGAGCCCTATGAGCCCTACGGGCTCCCGGGCCGTATGAGCCCCATGAACCACAGGAGCCCCATGAGCACTATGAGCCCTACGGGCACCATTACCCCTATGAGCCCTACGGCCCCCGCGGGCCCTACGACCCCCTACGAGCCATGTATGGCCTTTGAGCCCCATGAGCCCTATGAGCCCTACAGGCCGTATAAGCCTATGAGCCCTACAGGCCGTACAGACCTACAGGCTCTCTGGGATCGTGTACTCATGCCTTCTCGGGAGGATGGTCAGGAGCTACAGTCGAGGAGAAACTAGGAGTGAGGAGGAGCTAGGACAGGAGCCAAGTGCAAACGAAGGTGGATCGAACTAGGGAGGAGGTTAGGAGGAGGAGGAGGAGGAGGAGGAGAAGGAGGGGGAAGGTGAGAAGCTATAGGAGGCAAGGCCTATATGAGAAGTTGGTGGCGGTGATAGTGGCGGGGAGGGGAGGGGTAGCCGCGTGAGCGCGAGGTGGATGTAACGAAGGGCAGGTGGATGAGCAGGCATCCCGGCCCGTCGTCGTCCCGGCACGTCGTCGTCCTCAGGACTGCAAGTATTTCGGATCGCCTTTCGAGGCGTACGACGTGCTGGCAGTGAGGCGTGGAGCTTGAGCCCACAGGCAAAAACACGTTTAAGGCCAGCTCCAGATCCCTCGGGAACCTCCCCGAGCTCGCCCGGACCGCACAGGCAAATCAGACGTGGTCGGGGCATTCGCGCCCTATGAGCCCTATGGGCCTGGCGAGCCCTGTGAGCCTTACGGGCCGTATGGGCCCCTGGACCCCATGAGCCCTATGTGCCCTATGAGCCTTATGAGGCCTACGGCCCCCGCGGGCCCCACGACACCTTACGAGCATGTATGGCCTTTGAGCCCTATGAGCCCTATGAGCCCTACATGCCGTATGAGCCCTATGAGCCCCAGGAGCCCTATGAGCACTATGAGCCCTGCGGGCACCATGAGCCCTATGAGCCCTACGGGCTCCCGGGCCGTATGAGCCCCATGAACCACAGGAGCCCCATGAGCATTATGAGCCCTACGGGCACCATGACCCCTATGAGCCCTACGGCCCCCGCGGGCCCTACGACCCCCTACGAGCCATGTATGGCCTTTGAGCCCCATGAGCCCTATGAGCCCTACAGGCCGTATAAGCCTTATGAACCCCATGAGCCCCAGGAGCCCTATGAGCACTACGAGCCCTGCGGGCCCCATGAGCCCTATGAGCCCTATGGGCCCTGCAGGCCGTGTGAGCCCTACGATCCTTATGAGCCCCAGGAGCCCTATGAGCACTAGAAGCCCCGCGGGCACCATGAGCCCTGTGAGCCCTACGGGCCGTATGAGCCCTATGAGCCCCAGGAGCCCCGTGAGCACTATGAGCCCTACGGGCACCATGAGCCCTATGAGCCCTATGGGCCGTACGATTCCTATGAGCCCAATGAGCCCTACGGGCCCGGAGGGCTCTACGAGCTTCATGGGCCACATGAGCCTGTGAGCCATGTGAGCCCTATGAGAACCCTTGGCCTTATGAGCCATATGAGCCCTATGACCCTAAAGGCCTTATGAGCGTTATGACTGCTGTGAGCCGCATGGGCCTGATGAACCTGATGAGCCCTATGAGCCCTACGACGATGAACCTGATGAGCCCTACGAGCCCTACGGGCCGTATGAGTCCTATGAGCCCTACGAGCCCCAGGAGCCCTATGAGCACTATGAGCCCCGCAGGCACCACGAGACCTATGAGCCCAATGAGCCCTGTGAGCCCTGTGAGCCCTATGAGCCCTAGAAGCCCTGCGAGCACTACAAGCCCTATGGGACCATGAGCCCCATGAGCCCTATGAGCACTGGAGCCCTGTGAGCCATATAAGCCCTACGACCCCTGTGAGCCTGACGAGCCCTGCGATCCCTGTCCATGAGACACAATGATCCCTATGAGCCTTCTGAGCCTCACGGACCTTACGAGCCCGATGATTCCCAAGAGCCGATGACCTCACGGAACCCCAGGAGCCCTACAACTCCGAAGAGTCCTATGACACCCATGACCACTTCCCGAATCGCACCGCGGCAGTGACGATTGCTGGTCCCATCGCGCCTCTCTGGCGCCATGCGACCAAGATTTTAAAGGCGAAGCGATGCGAGCCGGTAGAATATTGAATCTATATATATAGAGATATACATGTATATGTACATGTATATATATATATATATTCATTTACATAGATATACATATATTTAAGTATATATATATGTTGTAGATATATTGTAGATATGGCCAGAGATCTCAGGACGCCTTCGGCCCGTTGGGCCGGCGAGTTTGTTCACTCATCACATGTTTCTGACGCATCATGGGCTGTGCATCGTGGCCTTCGATCTGCACAAGTATCGTCCACACCACATTAAGCGCATGGTGCTTTACTTTATCGGCGTGCTGCAGAGCCGAGTGCCTGGTGCAGCGGTACTCATTGTTGGCACTCACGCAGACATGGTGAACGAAGAGGCGCAACAGCAGCGGTGTGAGCACGTGTTGCGAGTGCTTACGCACAGGCAGGGGCGCGATCGTCAGCGGCTGGAGCGCAGGCTGTGTGAGATTGAGCGGATGAAGCGATCCCTCGTGGAAGCCGAGACTCAACGCCTTCGTGGGGAAAAAGGCAACGACGCGGGCATAGCTGAGCAGGACACAGTGAAGCACTGGGCCGAGCAGCAACAGCATCAGCACCTTCTCAAGGAGGTGATGGGAAATGAGGTGGTGTCGGCGGAGCTCGCGGCGCTTGATATCGAGTACCAAGCTGTCGAAAGGCAGATTAGTCGGCTGGTGCGGTTGCCAGATAAGATCTGCGCGATTAGTAGTCTGACGATGGCGGGGATTACTGAGCTTATCGAGGAGATCAAGCGCACAGCACTGGACAAGAGCAAATTCCCGCGGATGGGTCAGACTATCCCGCGTGTGTATCGACATGTGCGTGATTGCTTGCGGGAGTGGAGAGAAGAGACGCCGTATTGCAAAAAGGCGGAGCTCATCCGAAGGCTCGAAGCTGAGGTGGGAGAGGAACTTCAGGCAGGGCACGAGAGCGACGGCGGCGAAGCTGGCAATAAAAGCTATGTGACGCAGGTTGTGAGTGATGCCGTTGCGTTCCAGCATGAGGTCGGGGAAGTGGTGAGTTATGCGAGCGATTGCGGTGGTGGCATAGCCGATACGGTTTTTCTGTCGATGTCATGGCTTGTCGACGTGCTGAAGTATCTAGTGCGTCACGACCATTCGGATGCGCTGGTGTACGACGCGGCAGCAGCGGGTAAACTCCGCCCCGACGAATTCGAGCGTGCAAAGGCGCTCTTTCTGAGCACCGGCTGGCTGACCACGGATCTCCTGCGATGCTGTTGGCATGGCCTCTTCCCGCTTGGGCTTGACGACGCGACATTCGCAGCTTTGTTGGGCATTGTGAAGCATTTGGACGTGGTGCTAGTGGTCGAGAACGAAGGAGGAGGGGGGGCAGGCGAACAGATGCTGGTTCCAGCTTTCTTTCCACGTCGTTTGCCCCCACTGGCGTCATTTTCGTGCGCTGGAGACTTCGTAGAGCGATGGATCGCGCTCAGCGAAGTCGTGCCTGTCGGACTGATGCAGAGTTTGCAAGCGCGCCTGTATGCGCACCCGTATTTTTCTCCGGCCCGAGTTGACGAGAGCAGCTGCGGCGGTTTGAGCGTGGCCGACGAACAGGATGCCACTTTTGGTGCTGGAGCTTTGTTCACGATGGCAAAGGAAGGGCTGGTGGTTCGGACGGCAGAGTACGAGCTGCTGGTGCGCATGGGCGACTGCACGGTTAGCAGCGAGAGCGACGGGATTCAGATCATGGGTCGTGGCAGGCGCGCAATTGGGACGGATGCGTCGGACTCCAAGCCGTGGGCAGCAATCGGTGAAGTTGAGTCCTGTGTGCTTCGCCTGCTTGGCCAGTGGAAAGGCGTCGGCTGTAGAGTCTTTGCCCGATGGCGATGGCGGTCATCGAGCATGGCTGCGACGGGCGCTGGCCTGGAGCAGCTGCCATTGTTGAGTGCGCGCGTCGAGGATTTGCAGCGAGCCGTACGTCGAGGGGCACCGTGTACCATTGTGTCCGGCGGATGTTCGGGCGACGTTGCGGCCGCCGAGACGGTGTTGTTGGGATTGGAGGATGCGCTTGGACCCGTGGCTGCTGAAACGAAGGCATCCGCGGCGGCACCACCAGCGGCGGCGGTGCTCGTAAACCTGGAGCCTGAGGCGGAATGGTTTGCCTGGCACCAGCACGCTGTGCCGCAGGCGGCTGCCGCGGGTGACGACAGCTTCGCCGAAGGGCGAGAGCAGGAGCTGAGGTTCATTGACGATCAGAGAAACGGCCAGGCCGCCGAGAGCGAAGGCGAGGAGGGCGTGCGCACTTGCCTTGAGCGGCTGGGCATCGAGAGCGATGCCGCGCAAGCCCACGCCGCCGCGCTCATTGCGCGTGGTGTCGGCAGCGTTGGCGACCTCTGCGGGCTCACAGGCGAAGATTTGCGGGAGGCAGGCCTGGGAGCCGCGCACCGGCGACTCGTGCTGAAGTGGTTCGGGCTGTAATGGCAAGTTCAACCCCAAAATTCGCAGTGGTTCGCGCAGTTGTTCATTACGCGCTAACGGCGGTGTAGGTAACGGCGATGTATGTTTTGGTATTGTGGGAACGCGTGGCTCGCGCTTTCCTGCAATTCGCTGTGTCGGTTTCGTTCGATACATTGATGCAGGGAAGTGAGGTGCGTGATTTCCGACAATCTCGTTCCTAATGCCGCCGTTAAGCAACGTCGCCGTTAGCGTGGCCCTAGGCCTGGGTGTGCCGAGAGGGGAGGCCAGCGAGGCGGGAATTCCTCCGTGGCCTCCGCTGGTTCTCGTATACGACTGCCTGGCGCCTGGAAATCTGCCTGCCTCGGGCTGCGCTCCAGCAGCTGCGCCTCGCCGCTCCTCCTCCTCCTCCTTTTCCTCCTCCTCCTTTTCCTCCTCCTCCTTTTCCTCCTCCTCCTCATCATCCTCCTCCTCCTCCGCCTCCTCCTCCCTCCGTCCTCCTCCTCCCTCCGTCCTCCTCTTCCTCCTCCCTCCTCCTCCTCCTCCTCCTCCTCCTCCTCCTTCTCGGGTGCACGACTCGTCCCGAACCGCCGCCCAGTGGCCTGTTTGATCCGAGGCGGGGACTCACGCATAGCCACCCCCTCTGGGGGATCGATCCTCGGGGACCTCGGCAGGCGGTGTGTGTGTGTGTGTGTGTGCGCTCGCGTGTGTGTGTGTGTGTATTTGTTTGTTTGTGTGTGTGTTTTTGTCCGTATCCACCGCCTGCCGAGGTCCCCGAAGGTCGATTCCCCGGGCGGTGGCTACGGATAGATCCCCGCGTCGGAGGGGCGGCTTGCGTCGTCGTCGAGACATTCCTCCTGCCTCCTCTTTCCTCCTCCATGTCTTCTCCTCCATGCTTCGGAGCGGATTGTGAGCGCGCCCTGCCTCACTCCATCGGCGTCGCTGTGGTCGTGGCATGTCGTGGTGCGTGTTGCGCCTCCTCTGTTCCCTCTCCCCCGCAGCGGTGGCAGGATGGGGAGGAGGAGGAGGAGGAGGAAGAGGAGGAGGAGGAGGAGGAGGAGGAGGAGGAGGAGGAGTAGGAGGAGGAGGAGGAGGAGGAGGAGGAGGAGCAGGAGCAGCAGCAGGCAGGAGCAGGAGGAGGAGGAGCAGCAGGAGGGGGAGGTGGAGGGGGAGGAGGAGGAGGAGGAGGAGGATCCAACTGCGTCCTCTGTGCTCACCCTCAGTCCCTCCCCGCTTCCCTCCTCGGCCTCCCTCGCCCCCGCCCTCCCCGCCCCCTTCGCCTGCTCGATCGAGCTTCGGGTTGCCGGCCGTCCCGCCGCCAGGACCGAGGCCCGCGGCCTCCTGCTCCTGCTCCTCCCGCTCCTGCTCCTCCGCCTCCTCCTCCTCCTCATCCTCCTGCTCCACCTCTTCCTCCTCCTCCTCCTCCTTCTCCTCCTCCTCCTGCTCCTCCTCCCGCTCCTGCTCCTCCTCCTGCTGCTCCCTCTTCCTCCTCCTCCTCCTCCCCTCATCCTCCTCATTCCCCTCCCCCTCCTCCTCATTGTCCTCTTCTTCCTCCTCCTGTTCCTACCCCTACTCTTCCTTCTCCTCCTCCCCCTCCTCCTCCTCCTCCTCCTCCTTCTCCTCCTCCTTCTCCTGCCGTTCATCCTTCATCCTCCTCATTCTCCTCCTTCTCCTCCTCCTTCTCCTCCTCCTCCTCATCATTCCTTCTCTTCCTTCTCTGACACTGGTGAGTTGAGACTCAAGCCACGGTTGGCCCAAGCCAAGCCTTGCACCTCGTCCATGCCCGCATGATGGCTTTCGGCTGGAGGACGGTGCTGGACAAGCAGCTCCGCAATCCCCGACCGCCGACGAGAAGGGGCAGCCGCTGGCGGTGGCGAGACCTAATGGCCTTGTGGTGGGAAATCTTCACGCACGCGGGCTCGGGCGCGCTGGTTGCTTGTGTGCTGACGCTCGGGAAGGCGCCCGACAAGCACGCGGAGCACGATGTTGTCGGGAACGGGGTGGATCACCAGGCCGAGGACAAGGCACCACAGCTCTTCGGCAGCAGCTCGGCCGACCACTTGCAGCAGGTCGAGAGCCTCGCGGCGCAGACCCGCCAGCTCGAGGAGTTCGGCGGGCACGCGCTGCGCACGATAGCAGAGCGCACGAGAGATCTTGACACGATCCATGGCGTGGTGAGGGTGCAGATGGTTGAGGAGTCTCGGGATGCGAAAGTCCACAGGGTGGAGGAGAAGCTTGCAGAGGGTAAGGGCCATCAGCCTGTGAAGTTCGATGGGCGCGCTCTGGGCATCATGAATGGCACTGCAGATCTTGATGGTATCTTGGGTGTGCTGGAGCTGCAGAAGTCGGCGCAGGGCCTTGACGAGCCCAGCGAGTTGAAGTATCTTTCGACATGTCGATGAGGGTGCGCAAGCAGTGGCCTGAGAAGATTCGAGGCGAGCAGAAGATAGAGCTGGATGCCTGCGCGACGGGCTGTGAGGAACTCAAGCTTCAGGTCTCCCAGCTGGAACTGCTCGCTGGGCGCCGCGACGTAGCTCTCAAGTCAAGTCTTGACAAGACCGATGGGGAGCTCAAAGTGCACAAGCAGGACTTTGACAAGTACTTCACGATGGAGGAGCTGGCCGTCTTCATGAAAGAGAAGCTGACGGTCCGGGCGCAAGACCTCAATAATAAGTTGCAGTCCTCGACGAAGCAGTTGGCAGCCAAGCGCATGACAAAAGACAAACTTACCGCGCTCATTATAGAGGTGATGGCAGTGCAGCTGGGGGACCTCGTCAAGGACGACATCGGCTTGACGAAGGGCCTGGTCGGCGACAGCCTGGTGGCCATGATGATCATGGAGGGGAGCATCCAGAAGATGATCGTCGTCGCTGGCTTGTGGGAGCCTGCGTCCTCTTCACTGGCGCCTGAGGCCCCAGAGCGAGCGAGGACGCGACCAGCAGGGAGGAGCTCCTGGCAGTCTGCGGGGTGCCGCGTCCCATCGCCGCCATCCGCCGAGGTACTTGCTCGGATCGGCTGCGCCGCCTCCGGGCACCCCTCCTGCTCGACAGCTGCACTGCAGCAGCTGGCTCTGGTTCCCGACCCGGGACGCTGCCGCGCCGACCCGGGCTGCCTCGCGACCCGCTCTGCCTCCGCCGTGCCCCGTCGGCCGAGGGCGCGCCAGGAGCCGCCGAGGATAGCGATCCTGGCGCGCAGCACCAGCTGGCGGGCATGCTCGCGGATCCCGCCTCCCCCTCTCGGCCCCCGTCTGGGCTCTCTGTAGGGGAAAAAATGTGGCATAAACATGACAACTCGGATGTCCGCGCGGATTTCTCGGATCGGCGCTGGGCCCCCCCCCTCCCTGGCGCGCGGAGCGCGCCAGGGGGCGGCGCCGGAGGCGCCGCCGGGGGGCCCCAGCGCCGATCCGAGAAATCCGCGCGGACCTCCCAGTTCGTATGTTCATGCCACTTGTTGTTCCCCTACTCTGGTCCAGGCCGGGTTTCTCGGAGGGCTCCAGGAGTCTCCCGCGGCGCGGCCGGGCATGGCTGTGCTGTGCTGCCCAGCTCGCAC